AGCATTTCTGTCGATTCCATTTCAGCTTAACCGGCTATCCGGAAGAATACATGCACCGTACTAACTGCTACGGCAGTTATTTTCTCCTTTGAATACTGCCCACCTGCAATAATGATTCCGTAACGTACTCCTTGCGCTATCTTTTGACCATTTGTCAACTTTTCGTTTCGTAGCTGACACGGTACAACACTTTTCTTTCGCTTACTTCACACGGCCAGTCATTTTGTTTACAAAGAAATGATGTGCTATGCTCATGCGCTAGTAGAGGGAAATCCCTGAACAAAACGTTGGTCAGACAGGTAGAAATACCAATGATTTTCTTAGATTTAATCATTTTTATGAATCTATTTCAGCCAAATCCGATCGTTATTTTCCATAAGGAGTCTCACTTGATATGTTTATGCAGTATTTGAAAAAAAGACAAAAAATAAAGTTACTTCACCGTGATGCCCCTTTAACATGGCATACAGACTATATTTTACTTAATGTTGTCGTGGGCATATATATCATATAATTACCAAATGTTGTATGCGAGTGCCTCATAGAAATGCAGAGTGTCACTCACTAAAATTAGGTTTTGTACCTCATTTAATATGGAGTTATGACCCTTTGTTCTTTTTTGATTCCAAATTTTGTCTGCAGGTGGGGACTATGGATTGCTTGTAGCCCCGTATTATGTACTCTGCCGTGCTTGTATTTGCATGGTACATTGCAGACAATCTCTGTTTCAGATTATTCTGTGCCACCATTTTTAGCCCACGATCATCTGATGGATAGCTATTCAAATTACCCTGCGTCCGTGGTCCGTCGTCTGTCTGTCGTCCGTCGTCCGTCCGTCGTCCGTCCTTAAACAATTCTTGTTATCGGTATTTCTCAAGAAGTATCTGAGGGATCTTTCTCAAGTTTTATATGTAGTTCCCCTTGGTCCTTAGCTGTGTAGGGCAACTTTTGAGACTGATCGGATAAACAACATGGCCGACAGGCAGCCATCTTGGATTTTGATGGTGAAAGTTTGTTATCGCTATTTCTCGGGAGGTACGGGAGGGATCTTTTTCAAATTTTATATGTAGGTTCCCCTTGTTCTCTTGTTGTGCAGCAGTGCCTGAAATGGACGGTCTCTTGCTTGCCAATGGCGATTAAAGTCTTGCTCGGGCGACCAAAAGTTGTCAAAAGTGAAGTAGTCACTGGCCGAACAAAAATAGTTTGGGCTGTTGAAAAATTTATGAATAGAAGAAATTATAGTCCCTTCCACATTAACTGGGGGGCAGTACATTTTTCAGTTGTCATTACTTCGATTTGAATCAAACTGTCCGTGATTTAGAAAATGTGATGATTTTTTTTCAGATTTTCTATATAAATACTGCTAGGGTGTCTTCTTTAA